GAACGGGCCCTGCCCTGCTACCGGGCTGCCATGCCAGATTCCAGCTCCTTTAGTGCCTGTCCCCCAGCCCTGAGCTTCCCAGGTCCTGCCTCGGTAGCCACCGGGGGCTCCTAATTATAACAGCAGACAAAGAGCTGGGCTCTGACGGCAGTGCTGCATCTGACAGCCTGTGCCTGGGGACGCTGGAAGTGCTGCTGGCAGTCCTGGCAGTGGCCAGGCTGTGTGGGGGCTTGAGGCCCCCCAGGAGCTGGAGGCTGGAATGGCCAGCAATGCCCAGCCTCAGGCATCACCCCCGGGCTCCCGGCTGCTGCTGCTCTGCCAGCTGAGAAGCCCCCATGGAGGCTCCAGATGGCCCAGGCTTGGGCAAGGGTGGCCAAGGAAGGTCCAGTTGGGAGCAGAGGTGGAGCAGGAGCATGGAGGGGGCTGAGGCAAGGAGGGACATGGGGGCTGAACCCCAGATCTCCCACAGACACCTAGCGGGCAGGATCGTGTCCCAGCATTTGTCCCAGGGGCGTTCCCGTGCTTCTCCCTCCTGTCTCTGCAGCGGGAGCTTGGGGTTTGCCAGAGCTCTGCCGTGTGCAGAACGGAAGGTGCCACCTCTGCGGCAGCTGTGCTCAAACGAAGCTGCTGTGCTAACACTGGCCAGGGCACACGTCCACACAGCTGCCTGCCAGGAGCACATCTGCCTCTGCTCACCCTTGGCTTGGCCTCAGTCCTGCCCTTTGGGGCCCGTCATGTCCCCCCCGGGAGGTTTTTGACGTGCTGGCTGTGCTGGAACTCCACCTGGTGTCCCCCAGCTCTGGGATGCTGCTGTTTGGGGCTGGGTACCTGATCCCCCGGTGCAGGAGTGCAGCACGGTGCCTGCTTCCCACCTGGTGTCACCGACATCCCACCCTGACGTGTCACTGTGGGAGCTGCAGCGTGGCACCTGGGACACAGTCATCGGGGGACACGGGGATTTCCCCCTTTCCTCTCCAGGCAGCTGGGTACGGGCAGGGACCCGCCATCTCTCGGAGACCCTGAATGTGACAACACAACCCCGGGAGGGGTTTCCCGCTCTGGAGGGTGGCAGGGCTGGCCACAGCTCCCCCAGGATGTTCAGAGCCGCAGGTATCGGTGTCCCAGCGCTGCCACCGAGCTGTGAGGAGCGGTGGGTGACACCACAGGCACCCCCGAGCCGCGGAGGGCCCCGGCCACCCCCGTCCCCGGGAATGGCCCCGCTGCGGGGCGGGGGTCCCGACTACAGCATCTCGGCAGAATCTCCGGCTCAGGTTGTGCCGTGCTGGATACGGCATCTCCATGGAAACCCCCGGCTCGGGCGGTGCGGGCTTGGGAGATGCCATCTCCACGGAAACCGCTGCGGCGCCCGGATGCGGCCGGGATGCGCCGGGCACCGGGTACCGCGGCGGGAGGAGCGGGGTGTCAGCCGTGAGGGGCGATGGAGGCTGAGAGACTCGGGGAGCAGGGACCCCCCCTGTCCCTGGCACGGGACAGGTTGGGGAGAGCATTTCTGAGCCTGCCATTCCAAGCCCAGACTCGCCTCCGCTGCCCTGTTCGTCCCGCACTGTGCCAGGCTGAGCCTCTGCCTCCGTCCGGTCGGGGGTTGGTGCTTAGCCCCTCTCTCTCCCAGGGGAATGGAGCTCAGGCCATTCTGGGGAGCACCGTTTCCAGCCCGTGGGGGCTGGAGGTTTTCAGTGACACGGAAATTCCCCGATCCCAATGAGCAAAGGTACAGGACTCCAGGGACCCAGCCCAGAGATCCAGGGGTGCTCCATGACAGCCCTAGTGCTCGCACTCACATCCTGAGCTTGGGAAGCCAGAGGGACAAGATTTCAGCTGCAGAAACAGCCCAGACGAAATATTTTACGGGTTATTTATAGCCTGCATTAAAAAAAGATAACAAAAAAGAAACAACAAAAAAAAAACCCTCAACCCCCAAAAAAACCAGCGACCAAAAGCCTTTTGTTTGTTGATTTTAAATCCGCCTTTTACTCCATCCCGCTCCCACTGGCCTCCCGGGACGCCGGGTGCAGGAGCCGGGCTGCACCGGCAGCTCCCGGGCACTGGAGCGGCCCTTGCTCGGTGGGTCCCTGTCCCGGGGGAGCTGGCGGTGGCCGTGCCCGTCCCCAGCCCTGCCCCGCTGCCCACCGCCCGTGTGCCAGCCGGGCTGGGCGGCCCCGGGCCCGGATTAGCCCCCGCTCCCCGCTGGCACCGGGAGCAGCTCGGCCGCCCTCGCCGCGGCTCCCGGCTCCGTAAGCCCGGCTTTGACGTAGCCCGGAAAGTAGGCCAGTAAGAGCAACCGCAGCCGCCCGCGGCTCTCGGGGGACGCGGCCGAGGGAGGGCTCCGTGCTCGCACCGCCGCGCCGGGGCTCCCCTGCCCAACGCGGTGGCCGGCGACAACAGGGCTTTGTCCAGGCTCTCCTCGGCTCGCAGCCCGTGTGGCAGCCACGGCCGGCCCTGCTGTCACGGGGACAGCGACCATCAGGCCGGGGAAGTCCCCGCAGGGAGCCACCCCAGCCCGCAGCCGTGCCGGGTTCCCCGGCCCGTTTCTGTCCCCTCGCAAAGGACTCTCGCCCCGCTTCCCCAGGGGCATCCCTGGCATCTCCCTTTCCTGCGGCCGACCCGAAGTGGGTTATTAATTGAAAAACCCCGAGCTCCCGTGCCCAGTAAATCCATTTCTGCAGAGAGGTCAGGCGGACAAGCGCTGCCTCGATGTGGGGGCTCCAGAGGAGCCTGTGCTGTAGCAGGAGCCCGGAGGGGCCGGGATGTCAGCACCCGTGGTCTCCCCGCACCAGGGTCCCTCCTACTCAACCCAGCAGCTCATGCTAATGCTGTCCTCGTTTATTTTTGAAGCATCTCTGGATACTGGAAGCCCCAGTTCAAGCCAGTCCAGTCCAGTGCTGCCGTTCCTCACAGGATGAGGCAGATCCAGATGTGTGGCTACAACTGTTCCCTCCCACGCTGAGCATCACCCACACTCGGGCTGCCAGACCCACCAGCTCTGTGAGAGGGATCCACGCAGGGATCTGCACCTCGGCAGGTTCTGGTAATCCAATGCAGACCTGCTTGCTCCAGCTCTGAGCTGCTGTTACACCTGCCGGCCTCTCTCCTCTGCAGGATCTGCACCTGGGGACTGCCCGGGTGCCACCATCCTCCCGGCCCTGGAGGGAGCATCACATCGGAGCTGGGGACGTCCCAGTTCAGGCTGGGGCAGGGCAGTGCTCCGCTCCTCAGGGACACAGGGGACGCCACGCACAGCAGCAGCACCCTTGGCCGTGGGCTGAAGGCGTGTGGAGGTTCCTCCTCCCTGCAGAGAGGCAAACAGCAGGACAGGATCCCTCACCCCGAACCCTGAATCCCGCACCCCGAACCAGCTCTGCTGTGACCGCCCCGCCGCACCGTTCCCAGCCCAGGTACCCCGAGCATCCCGGGGCTGGAGCTGAGGAGTTGGGCTGGCTGCTGGGACAGCCCATGGTGTCCAGCCAAACACTGTCCGGGCTGGGGAGGACGAAGGCAGAGCCATTGGCCGGGGCAGGCGAGGGAGGGCCCCTGCAAGAGGGACAGGGACAGCGGTGCCGCAGGGATCTCCCGGCCTCTGTCGCCGGGGGCTGGGGGGGCTCTGGGGGGCTGCGGGCAGGTGGAGGGGCTGACAGGGAACGCTGCCTCCCCCTGCTCAGGGCGCTTCACCTTTTACTAAAATAAACAAACCCCCTCTGCCCTTCACGACATCCCCGGGGCGAAGGTTTCCCATGGCAGAGGGACACGGGCTGTGCTGGGGCCACCAGGCTCGCGAGGGGCTCGGCGTCACGGCACGGAAATGCTCTCCGCTTCCTTTCCTTTTTTTTTTTTTTTCTCCCCAAGCAACACAACCGTGACACCATCACGGGCCAGCGCCCTCTGACCCTGTCGCCCCGGGTGTGCAGGGTCCAGGGACACTCGGGGTGGGTCCCCGGCAAAGCCGCGACACCGAGCGCCCCCAGCCCCAGGTCAGCCCCCGGGGAGAGGCAGCGCCCGGAGCCCCGCGGCGGTCACGGAGCACCCGCGGTCAGCACGGGGGAGTCCCGGCCCCACAGAACGACCCCCGGTTCCTGCTCTGACCCGGCTCCGAGGGACAAGGGCAGCCCTGCCTGGGGACACGCCGTGCCCGGGGCTGGCTGCGGTGCCAAGGTGGGAGGAGGCGTCCTTGACACGAGGGACACATTTCCTGGGATCAGCAGCGGCTCCGGCTCCTGCGCTGGGGCCGGGAAGTGTTTCTCCAACTGGCGCTAAGCACAGCCCTCGTTGTAAGCGGGGGGAGAGGCCTGGAGGGATCCCTGCGCAGTCCCCAGGGCTCGGGCACATCCCTCCACTTGTGCTGGATGTACCAACCATCCCCTGAGGCGCTTCACTGTCACACTCCGAGGGGTGGCTGGGCACGGAGCAGGGGCTTGGGGGTGGGCAGCAGGAGTGGGGGCTGCCCGTGCTCCCAGCACGTGCAGAGCAGCAGCAGCACCTGACAGAGCCATTTCCAGGTGAACAGGTTTATTAGGGCTGAGCAGGTACTTTGGGAGTGCAGGTGGACCTGAGAAACACCCCCAAGGCCAGGCTCAGCATGAAAAGTTGGGGAGAAAGCTCCTTTGGACAAGATTTAAAAATCTACGTAGGTACAAAAACGGGGATATAAACCACAAAGGCACAGGACAGGATGTTGGCACCTAGTGCAGTCCCTCACCATGCTCCCAGAACGTGCCCCACTATGAGCTCTTGACCAAGCTCTCACCTTCAACTCAGCCAAAGCACCCAACCCTGCACGGACCCCGAGGACAGGATGGAGGGCACTGGCCCAACCTAGCCCCCGACACTGCCAAGGTAGCCATGCAGACAGCACAGGAAGGGCAGCCCTGGGTTTTATTGCAGAGAAAGAGGTAGAAGGAACTGGACAGAACCAGGAGCTCTTCCTGGTTCCTCTGCTTGCTCCAGTTCAAGTCCCCAGGCTGCAGGCACAGAGCTACCACACAGAGCTACCTCGCTCTGTGGCGCTGGGGCTGTGCCTTCTCCCCAGGAACAGCCTTTCCCCCTGCAGCTTTCCCCTTGGGCACAGCCTTTCCCCCCACAGCTTTCCCCTTGGACACAGCCTTCCCCTTGGGCACAGCCTTTCCCCCCACAGCTTTCCCCTTGGGCACAGCCTTCCCCTTGGGCACAGCCTTTCCCCTGAGCACAGCCTTCCTCCCAGGCTCAGCCTTCCTCTCGGGCATGGCCTCCCCCCCGAGCCTGGCCCCGCTGCCAGGGGCTGTGTCGGGGACGTCCTCGGCCGAGATGGGCTGGATGATGTGGCCGGCGCGGGTGATGACTCGAGGGGCTGTGAGCTTCTGGAAGGCGCGCTGAGTGTTCCACGTGGGGCCCACGGGCGTCCGCAAGCTCTGCTCGAACTGCTGGTGCCGCTCGAAGGGGAAGGGCAGCTCGCTGACCTGTGGGGACACCATAGGGGTAATGGCCCCGAGCCACCCAGCCCAGCTTTTCCGGCCCATGCTGCCCCCAATGCCCACTGCTTCCCACTTGTCCACTCACACTCTGCTGCCAGCAGTGCCCAAGAGGGCTGGAACAACCATGACCACCAAGGGAGCAGCCCTGTACATGCCTCCCCCTTCATTTCTAAGCTGTTTAAGCTGGAAGCCAAGCATTGGGCAGGGATTACAGGCAGGGATTGAGGACGTTTTGGGAAGGGATCACAGGAATGCCCCAGGCTTGCCCAGGTGCCAGAGCTCCCGTGGAGACCAGGGGTGCCCCACCTGATGTGCTGCTGCGTGGATGTTGCGATTCTCGCTCAGGATGACGTGGGGCAGGTGCCGGTCCTTCCGCGGAGGCGCCGGCGGAGGCTTGATCAGGAACCTGTGGGCAGTGAGGGGTCAGGGCTGGCACGGGGCTGGGCACATCCCTGAGCTCTCCCCCACTCACCTCTTGACCTTCCTGGTGCTGGGTTTCAGCCCCGTGCCGCCCCACTCGCCCCAGCCCGGCAGCACCAGGTTCACCGGCTGTGGCTTCGCCGCCTCCTCCGCCTTGCGCTTCTCCCGGCGGAAATCGGCGACCACGTCATCCCCAGCAAAGGCCTCCGTGATCATCCCGCGCTGCTCCACGCCACCCTCCTGCACAGGGACAGGGGACGGCGGGTTAAGGGTTATTGGGAGAGACTGGGACAAGTTGGGAGGCACTGGGAGAGGGTTTGTGGGTACTGGGCAGAGTGGGAAAGGGGGTAAAAGTTACCAGGCATTACTGGATGGGTGTTTTGGGTACTGGGGAGCACGAGGGAGGCCTGCTCTGCTCACCTCCTCCTCCAGGACCACAGGCAGGCTGGGGCAGTCCATCTCGTGGGGCTTGCCATCCAGCAAAGCCTCCAGGCTGATCATCTTCCTCTTGGCTGGTGTTTTCTTGGTGTGTCTGTCCCCAGCTCTGCTTTCCTGCTGCTGCTTTGCTCGCTTCCCTGCTCTTGGGGCTACCAGCTTCTCCTGCTCTTCCACCAGCTCCTCCTTGGCCAGATTCTCCATATCCTCCATGGTCCGCACACGGTGCAGCTGCTCTGAGAGCAGGAGCTGCTCCTGAGCCTGAGGGGGCGGCTCTGGCCCTGGGCTCACCAGCTCCTCAGCACAGACTGGGGGCACTGGGCTGTCCCCCAGATTCTCAGCACAGGCTGGGGAGACTGGGCTGTCCTCCAGCTCATCAGCACAGACTGGGGGCACTGAGCTGTCCCCCAGATCCTCAGCACAGGCTGGGGAGACTGGGCTGTCCTCCAGCTCATCAGCACAGACTGGGGGCACTGAGCTGTCCCCCAGATCCTCAGCACAGGCTGGGGAGACTGGGCTGTCCTCTAGCTCATCAGCACAGGCTGGGGGCACTGGGTTGGCCCCCAGATCCTCAGCACAGACTGGGAGCACTGGGCTGTCCCTGGGCTGCTCAGCACCGGCCTCAGTCTCGTCAGCACCTACATGTTGAAGGTAGAAATGGTCACTCCACAGGGCAGAGAGTAAGGACAGCTGTGTGAAACTAGCCAAAAACTGTCCCCAGATTCCCCTTCCTTAGTCCAGCCCCCCGGCATTGCCAGCCCACCCAGCTCAGGGTGTCATGCTCCTCACCATGCTCCTCCCTGTGCCCCTTGGGGTTCCCTGTCCGCTCCCGTCGCTTCTGCTCGAAGTCTTGCAGCAGAGCCTCTTCCTCAGACAGCTCCTCCTCCTCCTCCTCCTCCATCTCATCCTTGTTCTCCACAGCACCAGGCACTGTGTCATCTGTTGGACCCTCCTGTGCCTCAGGCTCCAGGGCTGGGCCACTGGGCTTGCCCAGCATCCAGGGATTAGCCCCGCTGGCCCCGGTGGGCACGGGCAAGGCCGTGGTGTCCCCCTCGGGCAGCTCACAGGGCTCCTCCTCGGGCGGCTCCACCTGCACTTTCTGCATCAGCTCCTTGTTCCTGGCCAGCTGCTCCTGCATGGCCTTGCGGGCCTGGGGGGCACCGAGAGGCTCTAACACAGGGCACAGACAACACTGCCAACCTTCCCTGCCCACCTCAGCCTCCCCCCTTCCCCAAGCAGCACTGCCATGGCATTCCAATGGATAAACGAATTATAAAAGATAGAGAGCATTTATAGCATGGCTTGGAGGGACGGGACAAGGGGGAATGGATGAAGACAGAAGGCAGGGACGGATGGGACATCAGGAAGAAATTCTTCCCTGGGAAGGAGGAGAGGCCCTGGCAGAGATTGCCCAGAGAAGCTGTGGCCGCCCCAACCCCAGAAATGTTCAAGGCCAGGTTGGCCAGGGCTAGGAGCAACTTGGTCTAGTGGAAAGTGTCCCTGCCCGTGGCAGGGTGGTAGAACTGGATGAGCGTTAAGGCCCCGAGCCACCAAACCCTTCTGTGGCTCCATCTCACCTCGAGGTCATACTTAGCCATAATGGCTCTGGATCGGGCCCATTTTCCCTTGTTCTGGTGCTTCAGGCTCATCCGCTCCTGGGGGAGGAGAAGCATCACACACAGAGCTCCCCAAGGAGCAGGGCCCTCCCGAGGGGTGGGCAGGGGTGCCAAGGCAGCACCTGCATCCTGAGCTGCTCCAGCTCCTCCAGCCGTGCCAAGGCGGCCTCAGGGTCCGATTTGTGCAGCTGCTCGAACTCTTTCAGGGCCTGGCGCCTCCGGCTCTTCTTGAGCACGCGGTGGTACCTGGGGCAGGGAGGGGCTCAGGGCTTGGGCAGGCCACGGGGAAGGCAGGTCCAGCCCTCCCAGCGTGCCCAGCCCTCCCAGCACAGCATCAGCCTCACTTCTTGCTCTTGATCCGCTTCGCTCGCCGAGCCTTGGCCTCGTAGTAGGACTGCACTGCCCGGGCCTTCTGCAGCTCTGCCCGCCGGCGCCGCGCCTGCCACGGAGCACCGGGAGCACGGGGTGAGCACCGGGAGCACGGGGTGAGGGATGGGGAGCACGGGGTGAGCACCGGGAGCACGGGGTGAGCACCAGGAACACGGGGTGAGCACCGGGAGCACGGGGTGAGCACAAGGAGCACGGGGTGAGCACCAGGAACACGGGGTGAGCACCGGGAGCACGGGGTGAGCACCGGGAACACGGGGTGAGCACCAGGAGCACGGGGTGAGGGATGGGGCTAAGGAAGAAGCCCCCCGAGCCAGGGCCCAGCGGGGTGAATCCTCACCTCCTCCAAGCTCATGGCCTGCAGTGAGGCCACCTCCTCTGCTGTCAGCAGTGGGTCTGTGATGGGCTGCTGTGTCTTGTGGAGCAACCCAAAGATCTCCTGCTCCAGTGGAGTTCGGGCCTGTTGGGACAGTAGACACGGCAAGAGGATGAGGAGAATTGCAAGTGCTCCCCTGGATGTCCCCATCCATTCTCACTGCCCCCAAGTAGGTCTGTAGAAGGGGAAGTGAAGTGTCCCCGCTCTGGGGACTGGGTGATCACAGCCCCACTCTTGGGTCCCACACCACAGCCCTTGGGCCCTCTCCCAGCCACACGGTCAGGGGAGGGCAGGCAGAATTCGTTCCACATTACAGAAATGGCCTCCCAGCTGCCAGGCAGTGCTGTGAGGTGGCCCCACACAAGGAGCATGGAGTAGGAGTTCCAGCCCACACAATGCCACGTCCCTCCAAAACAAAAAGGGACCTTTGGGTAGATTGGTGTGAGTGACAGGTTTGTTGGGAGCTCAGCAAGGGCTGCCCCTCCCTCACCCGGGCATCTGACAACTCCCAGGGATGGCAGTGGCTTCCTACAGCAGCACAACCCCACGGCAACTTGCAGTCAAAACCAATCACATCCCTCTTTTGTAAGGAATGATTCCAGGCATGCAGGATTTGGCAAACCAATCCCCTCTGTCTCAGCACTTGTGGCCAAGGGACACTCCCACATGCCTAGCCCTGAGAGGCTACAAGGAGAAGAGGGGACAGAGCAGGCTCCAAATCCTCTGCTCACACCTCACCTGACTTGTCCCAGATGGAATTTACTCCTACTCTGTGTGAGGAACACAGACTGCCCTTCTGACCTTCCCAAGCTCAGCGGGCACCTGTGCCCAGTGCCAGCCCCACCTCCACCAGTGCCCCCAGCACAGCCAGGAGACATCAACCTGCCCCAGCTGACCCCCAGAGCCACCCCAGCCGTGTGACCCCCCCGTGGCCACCTTCCACGCCGAGGTGGCCCTCTCCAGAGGGGTGACGGTGGCGATGTCCTGCCGCAGGGGGAACACCAGCTGCTCTGCACGCCGGTTCTGCAGGACCACCTGCTGCCACTTCCCCACGTCCTTCGAGGTGGTGACGTAGGCAGCCTCCCTCACCACCTGCAGGGGAACAGGACGGGCAGAGAAAGGTGATGCTGGCATCAGGGAGGGACACGGGGGCCCTGGGGGCTGGGCTCAGACCCCTTGGCTCCCTGCACTCACCCTCTTGGCCTCCTCTTTACTCAGTGGCAGCTCCACCGCCGCCTTCCGCTTCACTCTGGCCAGCTCCTTCCTCACGCTGCCCAGTGTGGATTTGGGATGGATGGGCTGCAGCAGCTCCGACAGCACCAGCTTCTCCCCAGCACCTGCACACAGGTGTGGCACTGCCAGGTAAGGGAGCTGTCCCTGCCCCCACAGTGGCTCTCGGTGGGCAGCGCTGTCCCAGACCCCCGAGCCCTGCCCGGCTCCCTGAGCCCTGCCCGGCTCCCCGCCTCACCTTTGCAGGTGACATTGAACTCGGACACCTGCCCGCTCGCCTCCGAGCGCTCCGCCAGCTTCCGCCTGCGAGAGAGGGACAGAAAACAACCCCAAAGGTTCCTCGTGTTCCCCGGGTGCTCTGCAGGGTTTGGGGCCGGGGCCCAGAACCGCCCCAGCTGCCCCCCTTCCCGTGCAGCCTCTCGCGGCTCGGCGGCTGCAGGAGCCCCGGGGCCGAACCGCGGGACGCCCGTACCCCCCACTCACCGTTTCCGTCCGGACAAGGCGCTGATCGCCTCCAGGAGCTGCCGGTGCCGCCGCTCGCCATCCTCCTGCCACACGGCACACGCAGTCACAGACCCGACCCGGCACAGCGCGGCCGCGGCCCCAGCGCCCGCTCCCACGTGCTCCCGGTGCCCCTACAGCACCGCCCGGCCGGGTCCCATTCCCGACATCCCCGGCCCGGCCACGCCGTCCTCCGCTGCGCCCACCCCGGCCAGGGAGAGCGCCCGAAGTCCCGGAAACAGCGGTGGAGGCCGCCCGGAAAGCCCGTCGCGTTCTTCCCTCCCCGCTCACCCCCTCCTCGCTCTCGCTGCCGCTCCCGGCCGCCGCCGCTGCAGGGTCCTCCTCCTCCGCCATGGCTCCGCACGCCGGTACTGCCGCAAAGCGCCACCGAGTGTCGCGCCGAGCCGTCGCGCCCTGCCGCAAAGCGCGCCCCCGTGACGTCAGGGTTGCCATGGCAGCGGGTCCGCGGGCGGGGCGGGAGAACCGGTGGGGACCGAGGGGGGCCCGGGAGGGACCGGGGCACGGACACCGCCATCCCGGCCTCGGACAGGGCTTTGAGGGCTCCGGGACAGCTCTGCACCTCCCGGAGCGCCCCCGATTCGCCGGGCAGCGGGAGCCGGCGGTGCCACCGCGGGCCAGAGCAGCTCCGCGAGTCTGCGCTCCGCCCGTGACCCTCGTGGGTCCCCCCAGCCCCGGGGATTCCGGGATTCGCTGTTTCCCCCGGGACGCGTCAGTGCCGCGGGCTCGGGGACGGAGCTGCCGCACCTACGGCTCCTCCTTCCCGGCCAGACCCGGTTCCGGGGAGCATTTTTGGGATTGATGGGATCCAGAGGGTGTTCGGAGCAAATACACGGAGCTCTCAGCTGCGAAGGGGTGCCAGTGTCTGTCACCGCGCCCGCAGCACCCATGCTCGCCCTTTCTGTCGTTCTCCTCCTCCGTGCAGGGCTGGGCTCACGGGGGGCTCGGGGCAGGGGCCAGCCGGGGACAGAGGGATCACGAGCGGTTCCCCGTCTGCTCGTGTCTCCATAACGACAACCACGGGAAAAGTTCGGTGTTTTCCCCTCGGGTTCGACGCTCCGGGCTCTGTCCTTGCTGGCAGCCACGTGCGCAGCGGGAGCGCGGTGTGTGAGATGCCCGGGATGGATGCCCCGAGGTGCGGTGACAGGGATGGACGGGATGCCGGTAGCGGGATGCCGGGGATGGGATCCTGGGGGGGCTCCCAAACACAACTCCCGGGTCTGGGTGTGCAAAACCGTGTGAAAACTACTGTGCGAAATGTGGCAACGTGCGGATGGGTGTGGGAGGGGCGGGGAACCCACGACGGGAGCATCCCGTGCGCTCCCCGCGGCGCTGGTGTTTGGCAGCCCGGTCCTTGTGGGAACCCGGTGCGAGAAAACGAAACGAGGAACGAGAGGCGGCGCCGGTCGTGCCCCGTCGGGGGCTGCACCGGGAGGTCTGGCGGGAGCCGCCGGGGTGGGGTGGGGTGGGGCCGGGCCGGGCCGAGCAGAGGCAAACCGGGGCCGCCGCCCCCGCCCCGCCAGATCCCCCCGGCCCCGCCGCACCGCGCCCGGCCCCGCCCCCGCCACGTGCCGGGGCCCGCCCCGCCCCGCCCTCCCTTGTCCGCACCGGGGCGGGGCCGAGCGCCCGGAGTGGCAGAGCGGGCGGCCAATGGAGCGGCGAGAAGCGGCGGGGAGGGAGGAGTCGGCACCAAGTGACAGCGCTGGTAACCAATGGAGCAGGGAGAAGCGGAGGGGTGGGAGGAGATACCGCGGAGTGACAGCGCACGGGCCCAATGGGAAGGCGGGAAGCGGCGGGGCGGGGCGGAGGGCGCGGCGGCACCAATGGCCGCGGCGGCCCCGCCCCGTTGGGGCGCGGGGCGTGGCGGCCCCTCCCGGCGCGGAGGGAGCGACCGGCGCGGCCCGAGCGGCACCGGCACCGGCACCGGGTGAGCGGCGGCGCGGGGCCCCTCCCGTTCCCTCCCTCCCCGTCCTCTCCCGTCTCCTCTCTAACCTTTCCCTTCCGCTCTCTCCCCACCGGGCCCCGCCACGCCCGCAGAGCCGGGGCTGCCCTGCCCTGTGTGGCCAGGCCCTGTCGCGTCCCCTCCCGGTGCGGAGCCGCCCCGCCGCCCCCTCCCGCCCAGCCGAGGGTCTTCCTGGCCGCGCCCCGCGCCCCCTCCCTGCTGGATTCCCACGGCAACGCCCCTCCCGGGCGCGGGGTTTCCATGGCGACGGCGGCCGCCGCCCCGGTGCTGACCGAGCGCTCTCCCCGTTCCCTCTCCCGCAGCCGCCGGCCCAGCCCAGCCCAGCGCGGCCCCGCGGGGCCCCGATGATGCCGGGCGCGCGGGCGGCGGAGGAGCAGCAGCAGCAGCAGCAGCGCCCGAACGTGCGGCGGCCGCTGCCGCCCCAGTGACGGCCCCGCCATGTCGGTGATGGTGGCGAGGAAGAAGGTGGTTCGGAAATGGGAGAAGCTGCCGGGCAGGAACACCTTCTGCTGCGACGGCCGCATCATGATGGCCCGGCAGAAGGGCATCTTCTACCTGACACTCTTCCTCATCCTCGGCACCTGCGCCCTCTTCTTCGCCTTCGAGTGAGTTCCCCGGGGAAACGGGAGCGGGGATGGGGATGGGCCCGTGTGCCCTCGGGACAGGGACGGGAGCCTGGCACGGTGCAGCCTGGCAGAGCGTGGCTTTCCCTGTCCAGATCTGCTTCCTCGCCCTCAGCAGAGCGAGCCTGGAGGTTCTGGGGAGAATGGGCCCTGCCGGAGGGTGACACTGGCCCTGCTTCCCCGTGGGTCACCTTCTGTCTGGGACTTGGCAGTGCCTGGTCCCGGGTGTTCCTGGCTCCAGGACAGCCGGGGTGCAAGGGCACTGCTGCTGCAGCCCTGTGTCCCTGCCCTGCCCAAGGGGGGACGTGCAGTCCCCACATCAGCCCCACCAGGGAGGGGACCCCAGCTGGGGGATTAATAAGGAGTGAGCTTGGGGGTCCTGCCAGTCTGACCTCCCCCGGCCTCTGCAGCCAGAGCCGTGCTGGTATTTGGGAAGGATCCCACCAACCCTTACATTACCTCGGCAGCCTAGAGACCTTCAGCCAAAACCTTTGATCCTGCTGTGATAAAGAAGGATCTGCCCCCTCCTCTCAGCTCTCCCTGGGAGTTGGGCTGGGGAGTTGGGCTGGCCTTAGACTAATCCGAAAATCAAACAACAAGCAAAAAGGGAAAAACCTATGCTTGTCCAGGCAGGAGGGTGCAGGACACCTCTGTTGCCTGGGTAGAGGATGAGCTTGGGTCAGCTAAACAACTGCAAAACTTCCTTTCCTCGGTCTCCATGGGCACGTTTGTGTTCTGGGGCAGCAGAAGGGCTGAAACAGGGTTGGGTTACACAAAAACTCACAAAGCCAAGAAAAATAAGTGGAAGGAGCTGCTCACTGGCTAGGCCCCGGCTATTCCTGCAGTTCCAAAAAGCCCTCGGCCCAGATGCTGCGCTCCTCAGCATCGTTCCTAAGCCAAGGAACTTGTTTCCACGTTCCCTGGCCCAGCGTGTCTCTTCCCTGGTTCCCTGCCCAAATTATCCCTGGCTCAGTCAGAATTCCGAGGTACCAAGTGACACCACTCTTGTTTGATGTTTGGGGTTTTTTCTGTCTGAAAAATGGGGCTGAGCTTTCCTGCCTTACAGGAAGAACTAATAGGTGTTGCTGCTCTAGAAACGCTTATTGCTGCACCAGAAACACTGATTTGAGGGATAATTGCTCTGGCTCCCTGTGGATCCTGTCCGTAGCAGCAGAGTGAACCACATCCCGCTAGGCAGAGTGAGCCAGGGCTGTTTTCCAGACCTGGGCTGTGGTTAGTCAGGAATGTGGCTGGAGATTCCTTGGGAAGCCCCTTTCCATGCTCTGGCAGGCAGAGGCCTGTGGAGGGGTGGCTTTCACCAAAACATCCAGGCCGTGCCTAGACCTGGAGGGTGGGCTCTGCAGGGGGAATGCTGCTGGGAATAGGATCACCTCTGAATTCTGGTTAAATCATCTGAGGACGTAGGGAAAAGTTTGGGAAAATCCAAATAGCCGTTTGATTCTTTCAGTGCAGAACACCTCAGTGGTTTGTTTTTGGTTTTTTTGTTTTTTTTTTTTTGGAAGAGAGGGGGTTGTTTTGAACTTGTTTGGGGATCTTTGAATTTGGGATAGGGGTGAAATGTCGCCTTCCCAGCTGGAAGCCCTCCTCGAGATCTCTGTTTCATTGATCAGGCTGAGATAAGCAGCTTGGCTGCTCTGCCCTGCATGTGTAGGGAGCTTTGGGTGAGGATCTCAGCCTTGATCTTGCGCTGTGTTTGTCTCAGTGCTTGGCCGATTCTTCAGTGTTTGCGTGGAAATTCCCGGTTCCCCGTTGAAGGAGGTGTGTGGGTTGGGAGCGGTGGGCGGAGGAGCCTTTCCCTGGCTGGTCACTGCAGGCTGCCAGTGCCGATCCGTGCTGGATCCATTCAGCTGAATCACTTGCGCAGTCACACCTTGTCTGAGCGCTCCGGGGTGCCAGGAGCCAGGATCTGCCTGGCTGCTCGCCCTGCGCGGGGCTGGGCTTCAGGAACAGCCGGGGCCAGTGGGGACTGGCACCCAGGGCAGGGGACAAGCCAGCGCCGGTCCTTCCCAGCCCCGTGGCCATGGCAGCGCTGCTGCTGCTGCTGGCTTTTTGCTCCCAGTGTCTCCCGTGCTGCCAGCTGCTCGCGGTGGCCACAGGCGAGCGGGCTGGGCCAGCTCAGCCCGGGGGTGGGAGTTTGTGTGTGCTGATCTCCAAACCGCAGTGCTGTGTGTGCTGGCACTGGGCAGATCTCTCTCTCAGTCCCGGGGGCAGATCTCTCCATCCGGGGGCAGATCTCTCCATCCGGGGGCAGATCTCTCCATCCGGGGGCAGATCTCTCCGTCCAGCAGCAAACAGGAGCCGGAGGCTGGCAGGACTCGGTGCTGTACCTGAGACCCGACTCCTCCCTCCTGGATAAGGCAGAGGGACGGAGCTGGGCTGGCTCCCAGGAAGGGCTCTGCGGCGACCAGAGTCCTCTGCCCAAGGGCACCTCTCTCTCCACTCAGCTCCCACTGCTTGGGGCTGCTCCCTGCACAGTCCCAGACCTGTGTTTAACTGGGGCTGCTCCCTAACACGTCCCATAAAATACAGTTTCACATCCTCTTGGCATTATTTCAGACTCCTAATGGTATTTCAGGCCTGTGGTTGGGCACTTAGCTGCTGTCTGCTTGAGGTGTTCCAGCATGAGGAGAAGACCAGATGAAGCACTTGTAAAAAATCCCTTTAGGAACTGGCAGGATGGGATGGATGGGAAGCAGTGTCTGCTCTCGGGCTGGGAGTTCCCTTTGCAGTTCCTGGCTCTCCTGGAGTGAGTTCCACACTCGGCTGAAGGGAATGGGATTTCTTTTGTCTCTGCCTTTTCAGCACAAAACTTGACATCTGTAAATGCAAGGGGCATGATATCACCAGCAACACCGGCTCCTCACGGGAAGGGGCTGCTCTTGGACCTTCCAGTGCCTAGGCATGTTTGGCACTTTGTTTTTCCTACTTTTTAAGCTTTGTAGAGATGAAAATGTCTTGGTTTTCTGATGAGTTGAAAAGACCTACACTGCCGCTTGTGTGACTTTATTTTTCAGTTTTGATTTCCAGAGACCCAAGACTCACAGAGGGGCCTCTGCACTGGCATTGCCTCTGGTTTGATCTGTGTCAAGCGTGGTCAGAACTTACACATGAGTTAATTGGTGCTTTTTAATTATTGTAATTTCTCTCAATAGAAGTGAACGTTTTGGTGTTCAGAGTTCAGCTTGTTTTCAGCTGTAGCCGAGGAAGGTTGAACAGGTGATTTGCAGGTGACACGTGGGTGAGTGATACTGAGGAGCGTGTGCTGAGCCCTGCTGGGGCCTGCCTGGGAGATGTGCTGCCCTGTGGCTGCAGTCCCTGTCACCAGGGCTGCCGTGGTGGCTTTCCCCTTCCTCCAGAGCTTTGCTCAATGTGCTGATTACAACAGACCTTCCCAAGCAGGTGCAGAATAACCAGCCAAGCACCCTAACTCACAGCACCTCCCGGCTGCTTCTCCCCCTGCTCCCCATTCCAATGATGTCTTTGTTCAGCCTTCCTGCCCCAGCCCACCCCGCTGTGATGATGAGCTGTGATAGTGCTGTTATTGTCTGCTTTTTGGTGACAAAACGCTCCAGAGCACAGATATGGTGCTGGGAGCAGGGGAGCAGCATCCTCGCATTCCAACAGAGCATCTCTGTTGGCTCTGAGCTCTCCCAAACAAAAGATCTTTAAATGTCTGAGCAGTGAAGTTGTCTTAGGGACAAGGCACAGACTGAAGATTCCCCAGTGCTAGTGAGTACCTGAGTGCCAAGTCAGGGCTGTGTGGCTGCTTCCCCTGCCATGGATGTGTTCCCTGGAAGTCACCTGCAGGGCGAGGCCCCCTCAGCACAGCAGAGGGTGGGAGGCACAGCCAGGTACCCTGGCGGGCTCCGTGCTGGGCCTGGTGGTGCAATTCCACCTGCTGGGAGCTCCTCTGGCTCTCACCTCTGCCCTCACCTGCAAGGGGCCACAGGAGCCAGCCCAGGCAAGGGAAGCTAAGCTAAGCCTGAGGAAGGAGGGCTGTGGCTCAGCTTTACCACAGCTCATGGATCCATATTTAAGCCCACAATATGTTCATGTTGTCACAGCAGTTCAAAAGCTGTGGTATCAGCTGGACAAGGGTCAGGCTGCAGCCCTTTGGGGCAGACAGTGTCCAGCTTTTCAAGGAATAATCACAGGTGGAGAAGACCCCCAAGACCATCAAGTCAGCCTGTGACTGGTCACCACCTTGTCAACCAGCCCAGAGCACTGAGTGCCACATCCAGTTGTTGCTTGGACACCTCTAGGGATGGAGGCTCCAAACCTCACTGGGCAGTTCTTTCCAATGCCTGACAGCTTTTCCATGGAGAAATTTCTCTTGATGTCCAACCTGAACCTCCCCTGGTGCAACTTGAGGCTGTCCCTCTTTGTCCTGTCACTGATTGCCTGGGAGAAGAGGCTGACCTGCACCTAAATCCATTTTCCATATTCCTCACCCCATATTTCTACCCCAAAAGCGCTCCAAGGTTTTTGTTTACTTGCTGACTGACTCGCAGCTGTCCCTGGACTTTGCCCTTGCAAAGGGAATGCAAAGTTATCTTGGGCTGCCTGAAGATGATAAGCTCAGCCCTCCAGTTCTTGGTCTGTGGGCAGGGCTGGGCACAGGGACGTTGTTTTGGGGAACAAAACAGAGTGTGCAGTGTCTGAAATGAAGGATGTTGGTTTAGGGACCAGGCCCTGTGTGTGGCTCTGGGCTCCTGGTGTTGCAGCTGTGGCTGAAGTGTGCTGTAGCTTCAGTGAGCAGCCCTTCTGTCCCTGTCACACGTGGGGGACAGCGCTGGACTCAGGCACTGGCCCAGGAATGTTCCTGCAGTGGGCCTGCGGAGCCTGGTGCTGCCAGCTGGAGCTGGGAACTGCATTGTGTTTGGGGAATCTGTGGTGGGAATGCCGTCCAGAATTAAATAGTGCTGTGGAGGTCATGGAAATGGCCTTGCTTGGGATGGCAGCCCGCCCAGGAGGATAATCCCTGGCCCCTCACCGCAGTAGCCTGGTGCTCCCATGGAGAGTAACTGTGGAACAGCAGGAGTCTGGGCTGGATCCACCCCTCAGCAGCAGGGATAGAGGGTGCATCCTAGAGAGCCTGGGTGCCCAGGTGTACCAGGAAGCTGGGGAAGGGATGTGTGCAAGGGGTGGTGAGACATGGCACAAGTGGTGGGATTTAGGTGGGGTTTCCCTTAAACCGTAGCAAAGCTCCGTAGGAACTTCACCCCAACATCAGTAGGGTTTTCTGAAGAAATCGGTAACATGTTTTTTTTTCAGCCCAGTATGTCTCTAAAATGTGTGTGTCCAGGAGCAGCATGGCCATGGTGAGATGAGTCCCATGCTCCTTTTGCATCTCGTCCATCAGCAGGATCAGCACCATAAACTCCTCATTGGGCCTTGCTGCATCTGTAGAGCAAACAAACCTTGTTCCCTTCTGAGCTGAGGGAGTCTTGAGGCAGGAGCCTTTCTGATTTATTTGGAGCATTCTTGTCTGTTGCCTCAGGAAAGCCAAAGGAAGCCAGATGTCTTGTTGCATGGGAATGTTGCACTTCCTCAGGAATCCATTCCTAAGAAGCACAGGATGCACTTAATCCCAATAATTTCTGTTGTGCTGGAAGCTCCTGCTCTTTAGGGGTTAGCCAGACATTCCCACCATCCCCTCCAGGCATGGGGTCCCTGCCCAGGCCTCGGGTGCTTCTCCCAGTGGTCTGGCCCATCCCTTGGCAGCAGGAATAGTCTCTCCATTGGACAAGGTCTGTCCAGCTGCCTGCTTGTGTTTCTGGCACTGCTTAAAACGGGAGCTGAAAGCAGAGCAAATGCTGGGAAGTATCTGTGCCTAGCTGGTGGAAACACGGAGCTGCTGTGATGGTGCCTGGTTGTTGGAGCTGCCCCAGGAGTGTTCCCCTGTGTGCTGGTGGGATCAGAAGGATGTACTGAACAGCTTCTCTGCTCCAGATCTGAGCAGTGCCCGGGCTCTGATGCTGTGCCAGGCTCTGAGCCTGACTCATGCCCTCCCTCCCCATGTCTGCAGGTGCCGGTACCTGGCTGTCCAGCTGTCCCCAGCCATCCCCGTGTTTGCAGCAGTTCTCTTCCTGTTCGCCATGGCCACACTGCTGCGGACGAGCTTCAGCGACCCCGGCGTGATCCCCAGGGCCCTGCCCGACGAGGCAGCCTTCATTGAGATGGAGATTGGTGAGTGTGGGATGGCCGAGCTGCTGAGGGCTGGAAAAGCCTCTCTGTTAATGGCGTATTTCTAGCTTACAGTCCCTGCAGAGCTTACCTTCCTGGCTGGACCTCCAAAAGTGAGGATTGCCCCAATCTGCTGGCTCACTGTACTTGGCCCAGTCTCAAGAAGGCAGCACGATGTACCTGCATCCCTCTCTGGGATCCGTTTCACCTGCTGCTTTCTCTCCCATAGCCGTGCACATACAAACTCAGTTTGCTTTTGAGAAGGGGTGCAGAAAGCTTGGAGTGGTCCCCCTGATCCTTCAGAGAGAGAGGAGGTTGGGTGGATGCAGGTGATAACACCCAGCCCACTCTCAACATGCCCATGAAAGCTCTGGCATCCCTTTTCCTGCCTGCAAGCTGCCAGGTTGGCTCTGGCCTGTGCGAGCAGAGCTGCAGCCTCCGGCTCCGGAGCCAGCGGGCTCCGATCCCGCTGCTGGGAAAGGCAGGGACTCGAGCTGTCCTTTGGGGCCCGGGGTGTCGGTAGCAGCCGGTCCCATCTGTGCCCGCCCCTCTCTGGCAGAGGCCACCAACGGGACCGTGCCGCAGGGCCAGCGCCCGCCCCCGCGCATCAAGAACTTCCAGATCAACAACCAGATCGTGAAGCTCAAGTACTGCTACACGTGTAAGATCTTCCGGCCGCCCCGCGCCTCGCACTGCAGCATCTGCGACAACTGCGTGGGTGAGTGGGGCTGGGGCTGGCCCTGCTCCTGCAGGGAGCCTCGCCAGGGGACAGGGACAGGGACAGACCCTGCCGGGCAGCTCTGCGCTGCTGGAGCGTCCGGGCTGCCTCGTCTTCTACTCGAGGAGCTTGAGGTTTGCTCAGAACCTGGAGCCAGGTGGTTCCTCTTCGCCAGGACTTTGGCAATAACCGAGTCCAGCTGCTCTGTGTACGTGTGCAGCCCAGTTTTGAGAGTTCCACTGGACTCTGGCCTTGCAGGACTGCAGGGTTCCAGTGGAGAGCTGTGTCTCAGGTGACAGCGGCTCCTTCATCAGCACAGAGATTGTGCCGTTCCCTGGGGGGCCCTGTGGTTGCTGTCCTCCTTCTGTGTATGTAGCTGGCTCATGTTCAGCATCACTGCTCCAGGCAGAAATCCCATCCTTTTGGACCCCTTTCCTCCTCTTCAGACTCCCAGCCTTTGTGCGTTTATGCAGTTTCTTGAACCTTCTCCCGATTATACCAGGGTAACAACTTGGGGACCCCCAGGCCTTCATCTAACCCATGTGCTGTGGCTGTTGTACCCCAGGGAGAGAAGACATGTGAGAGGTCAACCTCAAATTCTCTCTTAATGTGTGAAATGACTCATTATAAAACAATTTTGGACTTTTTGACCTCCTGAAAAGAGGCCAGGATACGTGGTCCTGACTGAGCAGAGGGTTGAACTTGGCGGTTTGTCAGCCTGGGGGATTTTTGGAGTGGGAGCACAGGAGCAAGGATGCAGAGGTGGGCAGGGCCATGCCAGGGCAGTGCTAATCTTCATCGTGGCTTCCCCAGAGCGCTTCGACCATCACTGTCCCTGGGTGGGCAACTGCGTGGGGAAGAGGAACTACCGCTACTTCTACCTCTTCATCCTCTCGCTCTCCCTCCTCACCATCTACATCTTCACCTTCAACATCGTCTACGTAGCACTGAGTGAGTCTGCCTGGAGAGCTGGGAGGGAGGGGGGCTGCAGATGGTGGTGTGAAACCAGAGTGCTGGAGTGGGAAAGGGAGCTGGGCTCAGTGGGATGTTCCAGATGAAAAAATCTCTCTCTTTTTGTGTTGCAGAATCTCTGAAGATTGGGTTTCTGAACACGTTGAAGGAAACCCCAGGGACATATCCTTCCATGGTCCTGAGGGCTTGACTTCTCCAAAACTGGGGGTTAGTGGGAGCTGCGTTGTGGAGTGAGTCTTTCTGAACATTTTCCCCTGGCTGACAACGTGGGGGGAGCAGTTTCTTGGTTTTTGGGAGGAGAATAAACAACAAAACAGTGGCTAGGAGAGGAAGAGAAGTTGTTTCTGGGCCTGCTCTCGGGTGTTCCCAGTCCTTAACTGTTCTCACTGTACTGGAGGTGCTCATCTGTTTCTTCACGCTGTGGTCGGTGGTGGGGCTAACTGGGTTCCACACCTTCCTGGTGGCACTGAATCAGACAACCAACGAAGACGTGAGTGGAACCTTCCTCTTCCTCTGAGCTGTCACCACTTCTCAGGGTGTCAAGGCTGTGCACAGCACAGGGATCTGGGGGCTGGGCAGGGTGTCCTTGGAGTAAACCCAAGCTTGTGCCCACCTCTTTCAGATTAAGGGGTCCTGGACTGGGAAGAACCGCGTGCAGAATCCCTACAGCCATGGTAACATAGTGAAGAACTGCTGTGAAGTGCTCTGCGGGCCCCTGCCCCCCAGGTGAGCTCATGAGGGGCAGCCTTCACCTTTGTCTCCTGCTGGGAAGAGAGGTGGGATTTGGAAGACGTGGCTGTCTGATGGCGTGGCTGTGTCCTTGCAGTGTCCTGGACAGACGGGGCATCCTGCAGCAGGAGGAGAGCACAGCTCAGGAGGGGTCGTGCCCACGGGGACCAGGCACACAGGAGCCCCCGGCCACGCAGGGCCCTGGGCAGGCCCAGGAGGGTGGCATGAAGCAGCAGGACGGCAGCATTCCTCCCCCCAGTGCCGTGAGTGATCCCTCTGGGAGCTGGGGGGGCTCTGGGACACTGAGAGAAAGCTGAGGGTGGGACTTAGGAAGGGCAAAACTACATGGGGCGGCTGGGTAAGAGGCTGCTGCTGAAAAGCTCGTTTGCTCTGAGCCTGGAAACCAGCGTGTCTTGGTTTCCTTGGGTTTCCTCAGAGGAGATCACAGCTGGCTGCAGTTTTGGAGATCAGTGCTGCCATGAGAACACTCAGGAGCTATTGTCCATGGAGCTTGGGAGGGCGGGGAGGTTGCAGACATCTCGTTCTGGTTCTGTGTGTGAGCTGCAGGGCTGTCCCTGGGATCTCCATCCTTGGAGAAAGTTGTTGTGGCCCTGAGCAGCCTGCTTTGTGTTTGAAATTAGTCCTGCTTTAAGGACATCGTTTGACAGGAGATCTCCAGAGTGCCGTTCCCACCTAAATTATTTCATGAACATAGTGGGAAATGGCTTGGCTTGCTCCTGCTTGGGCATGAGCTGCCCTTCTCTGGTGGACACAGTGCAGACACCTCTGCTGGAGCAGTCCAGTGCTCCGGCTCTTCCTGAAGCTGCTGTTCTGCCTCTCGGGTGGCCCCTGGTTTCGGTTTCTCCTTTTCCCAAGCCCAGCTGAGACAGTAGCAGTGGTGGGGCCGATGTGCTGGGGCTCTGCACTGGGGGTGTCCCTGCAGGTCCCTGTGTCCTCTCTCCCCAGGTGACTGTGTCCTCTGTCCCCAGGTCCCTGCACCATCCAGTGACACCGAGATGCCGGAGGAGAAGCAGCGAACGCCTGGGGAGCTGGCGGTGCCCTGCGCGGACGCTGGGCGAGCGGAGCACTAGCATCTGCTTGGAAGGGAGAACTTTGTTGTTTTGTCTAATCGAAGCTGGAAGTGGTGGAGGAGAGGAGAAGGGCTGGATGGCAGGCACCTGATTCCCCATGGCCATTTTGCTTTAGTCATTACCCACGGCGGTGCGGGCAGCGCTGGCCTCGCGCGGTGGCACGGGACGGCGAGCACGGGTGGCACGTCCTGGTCACCACGGGGCACTGCCACCACCCAGGCAGCTCTGCCTGGGGCCGGGCCTCTGGCTCTGCTGTCCTGGATGCCCCATCCCGGCTCAGGGCTGGGGCTGTCCCTCTGGCAGGGTGAGGCTGTTAGGGCTCGTCTGCTCCCTCCTGCTGAGGAATCCCCAGGGAAGGGGAAAGCAATGGTGGCAGCAACGTCCTCTCTCCCCTCCTCCCTCCTCCTTCCTCTAATCCGTCGCGTTGTTTTGTGGTTGGCGTGGCAAGGTTTTGTCAGGAGACGTTTTGGTGGCCCAAGGACCCAAACAAGAGGGAAGGAGTTCTGCTGGCAGCGGTTTTTAAGTAGCTTTTCTTCCCGTGCCCCTTTCCATGTGATGTAACAAGGCAGCAGCTATGAGGGGACCCTCCTTCCCACCCTGGGCTTCGAGGGAGGGACAGGGCAGCCAGGGTGCACTGAGCTGCAGGGCAGGGTCTGCCTGCTGGCCCCTGGCTGGTGTTGGGGCTGTATTTGCTGCTGGGTGTCCGCACTGAGCCCTCCCCAGCTGCGGCACAGCAGCTCTGCAGAAGCTCAGCCCCGATTCTGTGTTGTGTCATTGCACCCCCGTGTCCACCCCTGGCCTTGCTCTGCTGTTCTCAGCCGTCCTAGACTGGCTTTGGGAGCCTTGGATATTCCCAGGATTGTGCCGGGGCTGGGCTGTGTGGTGTCGGTCCCTTGTGTGTCCTCAACAGAGGGGGAGAGGCTGGGGGGATGGTGGGAGAGCTCTGTGCCATGGCAGGGCTCCCCCCTCTCCACAGGACCCTCACACCTCTGGGATCCCCGCAGAGGTCCCTGGTGGAGGAGAGGCCATTCCATGTCCTGGCAGCTCCCCAGTGCTGGGCACTCCCTTTCCTCCTCCCCGCAGGTGTGTGCTGGCTGCTGGGGGTGTCCTGCCTGCCCGGTCCCGTGTGTGTGCCCGTGGTGCTCCTGCCTGGCAGAGGGAAATGCCTGCTGCTCCATCCCTGGCCTCTCGTGCCAGCCTGCTCTCAGCAGCCGGGATCCTGCTCCCTCTGGAGCCTGGCCCGTGCCCCCAGCTCGCTCCTTGCCCTGGGGCTCTGGCTGGCAGAGAGGGGTGTGATGTGAACGGGGCACGGGCGCTGCTTCCTGTCCCGGGTGAAGGACAGAGCTGCCCCAGCGCTCCCAGTTGGAATGTGGCAGGGAAGGAGCCCCTGCAGCCAGCCCAGCCCAGCCCCATCCCGTTCCATCCTCCCGGTACGGAGCTCCTGTGCCCCGCCCCGTGGGAGTTGCCCCAACGCGCTGCTGACCAAATCTCCAATTGGGTGCAAAAAAAGTGTATTTTTTGGTTCTGCTGCTCCCTGTTCCACGAGGTGTTGCGGAGTGCTGCCTGCCGGGACCTGCCTGCACGGGTCAGGGTCTCCAGAAGGAAGGAAGGGGTTGGGTGAGGATTGGGTCTTCTTTATTTTTTTTCTTATTATTTTTTTTTAATTTTAAAACAATGAAGGAAACTTAATTGGTTTGAAAATGGCTGAGCTGTAGCCCCTGCGTGTCTGTGCTGCCCCAAGCCAGCTGCCTCTTCCCCCTTCCCCGTGTGTTTCCAGGACTCTCCATCTCACACTTCCAGGGTGTCTTAGCTGTGTTATTTGCATCTTGCTGTGCCCCACGGCAGGTGAGGGGGCTCTCTGTGTGTCCATGCTGAGAAGTGACGGTGTCCTGGGCAGGCTTCAGCTGCCTGCAGACACGGCTTCCATGCCGAGCTCCCCTCCTGAGCCTGCTGGCAAACCTGGCAGAAGCAGCCGATGCCTGTGGTGCCTTGGCAGGGAGCGCCGTGCCCCGGCGTGCCCAGGGGCCCTGGGGGCAGTGGTGCCAGGCAGTGCCATGCAAAATGTCCTGGGGCACCTCGTGCCCACCCAGCATCTTGCTGTGGTGCAGGAGCCGAGCTGGCCCCGAGGTGCCACCGCTGGGGCTCCCCTGTCCCCTGCCAGCAGCCGTCCCCAGCAGCCCAGCCCCACCGTCAGGGCCAGAGCGGGAAGCGGCGCTGTCGGCGGGCTCAGGGGGATTCTGCCATGGAGAGAGCCCCCAGCTGTTCCTTGGGACCCCCCAGCTCGGCCTCCTCCCGGCTGCCATCCAGGCCCTCTGATCCCTCGAAGCAGCCGGAGTCCCGGGGAATGTCCTCTTTGGGCTCCGAGGGCGACGGCAGGGCCTCGGCGGTGTCCCCATCCTCGGGCTCGCTGGCTGCTGGGAGGGAGCCGTGGTGTTAGGGGTGCTGCTGGGGTGCCAGTGAGGGTCCCCACCCCGTCCCCAGACTCTTACTGTCGTAGTCCAGGAGGAGCTCGGCGGCCGTGAGCAGCTTGGCGCGGTGCTGGGGGTCCGTGATGTGCAGCTCGTTCAGGTGCGTCTCCCGCAGCTCCTTGAAGTCCTCCAGGGTCTGGTACCCGTTCAGCAGGAGGGTGGGGATGTGTTCCTGGGTGGGGAGCGTGGGCAGGGCTGAGCAGGGCTTGGGTGGCTCCTCCTGACCCCCAGTGCTGGCCCGTGGCTCCCTCTCAGTGGGTCCATGGTGGGCAGCTGCCCCCACGTTACCCAGAAATGCCGCAGGTGTCCCCTCTGTGCCCCTTGGTGGAAGGACCCACGCAGGTGGGGGACAGTGAAGGGGAGAGGGGCTGGTCCCAGTGCTGGCACCGCAGTCCCGTGCCGGGGTTAGTACATTGTTGGCACAAACAATGGTACAAGTTGGTGCTGCTGTTCCCCACGGCCCCGCCCCTCACCTGCAGGTTGATGCGCTCCAGCAGCTCGTGGAGAGTTTTGGGCTTGAGGCGCTTGTTCCTGCTGGAGCCGCGGCTCCTGCGGGCAGGGACTGTCTCCTCAGGGATCACATCCACGTAGATGAACTTGAAGGAGCCCACCCTGTTGTTGAGCAGCCCTGTCCAGGTGCCCACAGGTGGCTTCTCGATGATGCCGATGATGTCCCCTTTCTAGGCCAAGGGACACGGGATAGTGGTGAGCACAGGCTTGGGGACAGCCAGGGAACACCCCCAGCTCAGGGGGTCCCCAGCCACCCTCCCTGGGGCTCAGGGCCGTGGCTCACCCGCAGCTTCAGGGAGTCCTTGTCGTAGGGGCTGGGGGTGAAGTCGGTGTGGACGCGGGCGCGGCCGCAGAAGGGGCCGGTGTAGGCAGGCACGGCCTCCTCCAGCCGCCGGCTGTCCCCGGGATCGCTGGGGCTGGGAATGTCACTGCCTGCAGAGAGGAGGGGGTCAGCACGTGCCCGGCTGGGGACGTGGGGCAGTGTCCTGTCGGAGCTGGCCTCACCGCTGGACATCTGGCGTGCGAGGGCTGGGCGCCCGTCCTCCTCCTCCTCCAGCTCCAGGTACGACAGGGGCACCTTGTCATGGCTCTGCTCCTCTGTGCTGCTGCCTGGGGACAGGGGGCACGGGGACCCCTCCTCCTCCGCCTCTCCCTGCTGCGAGTACCGGGTCAGGCCGAGGCAGGGGGAGCTGTCCCCGCTCACCTGTGTGTCCCCCACGCCCCGCTCACCTGTGTGTCCCCCAGGCCCCCTCACCTTGCCCTCGGCCAGCGCTCTCACGGCCATCCTGCCCATCTTGCGGTTCATGGTGCGTGAGATCACCGCCCTCCACTTCCTGCCCAGCTTCGTCCCGCTGCTCCGCACGGCCTCCTCAGGGCTGGCATCATCCTCGGGGATCTGCCAGAGGGATGCACAGTGAGGGCAGAGCCCCCCACGCTGAGCAAGCCTCAGGCAGGGTCACACAGGGCTGTGAGATCCCAAATCCCACAGTGCTGCTCCGTGTCACACTGGTAAGAGCAGGAGTTTTGGGAGCCCAGCCCTGCAGTGAGCTGTTCCTGGGGGAGCAGGATGGGTCAAGGGGTGCTGCTGCCCCGGGGGGGCTGGGAACTCACATTCTCCTCCAGGTTGAACTCCTCGTTTGACACGGGGGAGCTGACCTTGGATTTGTTGAAGTCCTTGAAGCTGCTGGAACGCTGTAGGGAAAGCTGGGAGCAGGGTCAGAGGTGTGAGGGGCGAGATGGAAAGGTGAGAGATTGGCTTCTTCCTGCATCCCCTGCCCCAGCTCCTCTCCCTTCTTTGGGCTGCTCTGCCCATCCCAGGGTGATGCCAGTGCTGGGAAGAGTTTTTTGCTCTCTTCCAGGAGCTGCCATGTGCCATGAACTCCCCAGAACTGCGATGTGGAGCTCTTGGTGCCTGTGCAGCTGCTTGGCACAGAATTCCCAAGGCAGGGATGTTCTGGTGTGGACCCTGGCACTGCCATTCCAGCCTTGTCCCAGCTGCTACCCACAGGGTCAGCTCCAGGTCTGAAAGTTTTCAATTTTCCACCTGTGAGCGTCATGCCATGGCCCAGAGAGCACACCCCCAGCTGGCTTGGTGCCACCTCCATGCCTGAGCCATCAAAGCTGTTTTTTGATCTCAGTCCTGGTGCACCTCTCTGTCCCTGTCCCTTTCAGTCTTTCCTGTGCCCCCTGCCTGCATCCCCTCCATGCCTCAGGGGCCTGTCTCACATGGAGGGGTTTCTCCATGCTGGGAACGTCCTTGGTGCCAGCACAGCCTCGTGGCCCCAGGTGTCCCTCATCCCTGGATGCCAGCACCGGTGTGCTCACACGTTGGATGCTGTGAGCTTGGCTGTGAGCACCAGCACTCCAGAGGCCCCCGGAGCACACAGCACCGTGCTCGCTCTGCCACCACCACCACCAGGGATTTCTGTTCTCGTGCAGCTCTGCCAGCTCCTGTGGAGGCCCTTCCCAGCCCTGCACAGCCTGGCCCTGTGTTCTCCCCTCTTCGTTCTCCTCCTCATGGGCTCCACCCGCGGTTTTGCCATTCCTGCAGAGGGCTGGCTCACAGTGTGACACCCACTGTGGCTTTGTGCCAGCTCCAGGTGTATCTGTGCAGAGGGGATGCTGCCTTTTGCCCTGCTCCCACCCCAGTACCCCGAATCCACCAGCTCCAGGTCCTCTGAACCCCCCCGGGCTCCACTGCTGAGATAAAACAGCTCTGAGAGAGAAGTGCCCTGGGGCTGGAGGAGCCATGGAGAGCCTGGCCGTGGGATGTGAGTCAGGGGGGCCGGGCTGTCCCGGAGCGGGAAGTGAGAGTGGCTGTGGCTGGGCAAGGGCAGGGGATGCCCGCTGGGACTGGCCAGGCTGGATGTGCCACCCCAGTGCAGGGAGGGGGACGTCACCCAGATTTCCTGTGGGAGCCTGGCAGCACGGAGGAGCTGCCATAGCAGAGTGTGTGCCTGTCATGGCACCAGGCACTGCCCCTGCTCCCCGTGGGGGACTCGCTGATGCTGATGCCAGCCCAGCAAAGCTTGGCAAGAGCTGAAGTGCCAGCTGGTGCGAGACCTGGCGGGGGATGAGGAGCCGGTTTTGGCTCCCGCTGGTGACTTCAGGCTCCAGCCTTCAGCCGCAGGGTGGCACATGGCCATGGCTCGCAGGGGCTCTGAGAGGCCGTGACACTTTGACAGTGGCAGCTGCTGCTCCCGCGGCTCCCACCGCAGCGGTGCTGCCGGAGGAAGCGGCTGACGCACGTGATGGAGCTGCAGCCCCGACCGCAGCACCTTGCTGTGCAAGAGAACAGCATAGCCGCCACCGCAGCCACGTCCCCCCCAGGAAATGACGGGCGGCTGCCCACGGATGGGGAGGCCACGGCGAAGGGGGCACAGCCTCCCCCGGCACAGTCCCACGGGTCCCACCGGCACCTGGGCTGGCACCCACGTGATGCCGAGGGCTTTGCATCCCAGCCACACATCCCAATAGGGTGGAAGCCACAGTGGGAGGTGGACAAGGCCAGGACCGCGCACTGGCGAGGCCGCAGTGGCTGGTGGCAGCAGGGACAAGCCGAGGGCAGGGCAGCTACCGTGCTGTCCCAGCCCTCTGGGTCCTGCCCCAACCCCCGGCACCAGCCCTCCTGCTCAGCACCCAGGCTCGGACATCCCGGGATGTGCCGGGAAATCTGCGGTGCTGAGGGAACCTGGGCACCGCCAGCACTCACCTTCCTGTGTCCCGGCTCCTTGTCGCCGGCGTTGGAAGGCTTGCGGCGCAGCATGGTGCTGGGGCTGGTGGCGAGCGCTCAGCGTCCGGCAGCGGCGACCACGGCCCGTCCCGGCCCGTCCCGTCCCGTCCCGTCCCGTTCCGTCACGACCCGTCACGACCCGTCCCGACCCGTCCCGACCCGTCACGACCCGTCCCGACCCGCGGCACCGGCACCGACCCGGAGCGCACAGGAAGCCGGCGGTCACATGAGAGGCGCTTGCAGCCGAGCTCGGGGTGGCGAAGCGCGGGCTGGGGCAGGAGGAAGGAAACCCTCCAGCGAGCTCCTGCCCTGCCCGGGGCCCCTGGGTGGGGACGGTGTCTGCGCCCTGGCACCTCTGGGCCGTGCCGTGCCGTGCCGCCCCTCGGTGATGCTGCCCGTGCCCGCCTCCCTCGGCAGCGTGTGCCCCTCGGTGATGCTGCCCCTTGGCCATCTGCGGATGGCATCGTGTGTCCCCCCATGCAGAAGGTGACAGTCCCCAACCCCTCTGTCGTGCCCACCCCCGTGCCTGCTCATCCTGCTGGGACATCGCCAAGCCCTCTGCGTGACACTTGGTGTGGGATGTCCCCTGGATCCGCAGATCTTCCCTGCCCGACATCGCACCCAGGTGGGACGAGCTCATGGTGACCCCGCTGCTGGCAGCCGTGGGGACATCCATGGTTGGGCCGGCTGCCCTGTATCTTCTCACTCCAAATCCTCCATCTTTAGCCCCAGAATTACAATCTGCCCAAACCCATCTCCTCCCTGCCGGCGTTGGTCGCCTCGGGGCTGGACAAGGCTGCACAAGCAGGGTCACCGGAGCGGGGCTGGGAGCTGGATAAGGTGGCACAAGCAGGGTCACAGGAGAGGGGCTGGGGGCTGGATAAGGTGGCACAAGCAGGGTCACAGGAGAGGGGCTGGGGGCTGGATAAGGTGGCACAAGCAGGGTCACAGGAGAGGGGCTGGGGCCGGACTCCAGCCCGAAATCGCTGGCGAGGCAGCGCGCAGCACATCGGGCACAGCAGGACCCGCCTCGCTCATGTTTAATCACAAACGAGCAAATAGAACGCACCAAGGGAAAGGAAGTGAGGGCGGGGGCAGACACGGCAGTGGTGGGAGGGGATGGTGCGGCCGTGGGTGCGGGGTCAGGCTCCCAGCCCGCTGAGCAGCACCGAGAGTAGCGGGGCGAGGACCAGCGTGCCCGCGGCCACCGTGCGGGCGCTGCTCAGCGGGAAGGGCTCGGTGCTCTCCTGCAGCCAAGCGAACTCCTCCTCCAGCCGCTGCCGCTGCAGCTCCGGCCCCACGCGCTCTCGGATCTTATTGTAGTACGAGTTCAGGTAGCTGATCTGCAGCCAGGCACCGCGGGGAGCTGTGGGGGGTGGCCTGGGTGCTGCCCCCCCTTTGGCCTTCCCCATCCCCACACCCCGACCACCGGCCCCACTACAGAGCTCATTGCCCCTCCTCATCCATGCATCCATCCATGCTCTGTCCTCATTTACCCACTCCAGCCTCCTCATGCCATGGTCCTGGATTTTTGCTGCATCCAAGCCCCCGTGCTGACCTCGCGTCCCTGCTCTGCTCCCCACCCCGAGCACACCCCGTACCTGCTCTGGGGACAGGAGGCTCAGGTCGATGAGGTTGCGGTCATAGGGCACCAGGGACACCACCTCGAAGGTCAGAAAGGTCTCCTCGCTCTGGTGCTGCCACAGAGAGGTGTCATTGAGTGTCCCCTAACCCCTTGGGGTTGTCCCCACCCCTGACTCGATGCAGGCCCCCACTTGTGCCACCCCAGTCAGCCCATCCCCATGGCCCTACCTCAGTCTGTGCCTCCACCACGAGGGCGATGTCCTCAATGCGGATCCCGAACTCACCATCCCGGTAATACCCGGGCTCTGAGGGCCAGGAACAGCCTGGTGAGCCCCCAGGCCCAGAGACTCCCCCAGCCCACCTCAGCGGGGCTGGATCTGGCCCCGAGTGGGGCTGAGAGCTGGCACCCCGTCCCCATTGGGCTCTGTTGCCCCGGAGAGCCGGGTCGGGGTGCTGGCACGTACCGATGGAGGTGAACATGCCAGCCTCCAGCGGCACGTTGTTGGACTGGAAACCCACGGGCCCTGCAGGGACATGGGGTGGGTTAGAGATCTGGGGGTGGCATGTGCTGCAGGGACACCCCAGCAAGGAGCACAGGGCCACCAAGGCAAGGACTAAGGGGCCACCAAGGCAAGGACCACAAGATGTTGCAAGTAGGGGTTCCCCTGCCCCTTACAGAGGCTCTGCTGGGTGATGAGAAGCCCCCAGTGAGCTCCTGTCCTCGCCCCTGTCCCCGTAGCTCAGCCCACATGCCCAGCACCAGTGCTGGTGGCACCTACACTCGTGCACTGAGAGGAAGTTGCCGATGCCGTGGCCCGTGCCGTGGCCGTAGTTGAGTCCAACATCCCAGAGTGCCCGGCGAGCAAAGGACTCCACCGTTCTCCCTGGGGAATGAAGAGGTGGGATGGGGGCCAAGGGGCCTGTGGGGCCCGCCGTGCCCTCCTGCTCCCTGTGCCAGGGGTTCTGTGCTGGGCCAGTGCCGGGTTTGGCACCCACCTGCCGTGTTGGATGGGAAGACGAGGCGGGAGAGGTCAATGTTGCCCATCAGCACACGGGTGTAGGCTTCCTGTAGGGCATGGCATGGCAGGGGTGAGTGTGGTGGTACCCAGACACCCTGTCCTGCACATCCAGCCCTGGCCAGGCTGAGTGCCATAGGGAGTGCTGGGCAGTGCAGGGTGTCCTGGGCAGTGCAGGGGGGCGTTGGCTGACATGGGAGGGGCTGGCACCTTCTGCAGTGGGGTGGGCTCACTCCAGTGCACTGTGCGGGTGATGTCTGTTGTCCCGTCCCTGCAAAGGGGGGGTCATGAATGGGGCTGGTGCAATTTTGGGAACCCCTGGGTGTGGGGCTGTGCTGGGGGTCTCTGTTCAAAGCTACGCACAGATATTGCCCTCCGGTGTCAAACAGGTACATCTCTCTGGCAGACAGTGTCCGGCTGCTCCCGTTGGAGGGGCTGCGAGGGGAGGGAGGGTCAGAGCCCTCTTCCATTGCCCCCTGCCCCCTGCCCAGTGCCCCCTGCCCCCGGCCCCTGCCCAGCGCTGCCGTACCTGTAGTGGGCCAGCGCTGCGTTGAGCCCGCTGGCCGAGATGGACTGGAAGCTGGGCCCACGGCTGTTCTCCTGGGCCCTGGAAGGCAGCAGGGAGGAGGGGAGGTGCTGGGGGTGCCCGGCTGCCCTTCCCTGGGCAGAGCGGGCCTGGGGGGCAGCACTGACCAGCGAAGTGCATCGATGTGCTGAGCCCCTGAAAATTCGTCCACCTGCCCCTGCGGGACTGTCTTCTCCAGCCACAGCAGGTACTGGATGACGGCCACGGCGTCGCGGACCTGGGGGTGCCCGGTGGCAGCGGGGAGCGGCATCAGTGCCCTGCGTCCTCCGGTGTCCCCCCGTTCTGCAGGGGACTGTGGGGAGGGGGACAGCCCTTACGTGGGCAGCTCGCAGCATCTCCTGCTCGTGGGCGTTTTTCACAGCCTTGGCCATCATGACGGGCGAGTAATTCTCCTCCAGCAACTTCTCCTGTGAGGGCAGGCAGGAGGTGACACAGCTACCTGTCCCCTCAGGCCCCAGGGGTGGCCACAACGCGGTGACACGGGCCCTTCCCCGAGCCTGCAGGACCCGCACGCCCAGTGGCCAGGCTCGGTGCCCACCTGGGGGATGATGCCGTAGAGGCCGTAGGTGGTGTACTCGGTGCCCAGCCACACGGTGACGTTGTCCTGGGTGTAGCGGCGCAGGTGGGCGCTCACCTGCCCGTAGTCCTGCAGCTCCACGCACAGCGGCCCCGGGCAGCCCGAGTGCAGCGACTCCCGCGCCGCCGCCGAGAGCCGGGACTCGTTCAGGAACAGGCTGGGAGGGACGGGATGGGGCGGGATGGGGCGGGATGGGACAGACGTGGCCGTCACCGCTGCCTTTGGTCCCCCCAGCCCGGCCAGGCCGTAGAGGGAAGGGAAATGGGGGGCTCGGAGGGGATGCTGGGCTGGGAATGGGAGGAACTCAGGCTGTGAGGAAAGGGAGCGTGCCGTGCCCTGGCGTGAGCTGGGAGCAGGGGATGGACTGGGAGAGATGTGTGGCTCAGGACAGTCAGTGGGGCTGGGCACGGCAGGATGTGGTGGCTCTGGGGGTAAGGGCTGAGAGGGGATCCCAGGGGGGCTGGCTCAGGAAAGGAAGGGTGGAAGGGAGATGGTTGGTGAGCCCCCTCCACGTCCCCACGGGGACGCGCTGCCCACCTTATGGTCGTGTTGGTCAGGAGGGTGTAGGAGTAGAAGACGGGGTTGTAGGGGATGTCATCTCCGCGGAGGTTGAAGAGCCCTGCCAGGAACGAGACCTCTGCGCCTGCCACTGCCACTGCCCTCCCCTCCACCCCCAGGGTTCGAGCCCACGGCCCCTGCCATGGCCCCACCGCGGCACCGTGGGCACTCACAGGCCGTCTCCTCCAGCCCCGACAGCAGCACGGCCGTGGGGCGCCGCGAGTGCTGCTCCATGCGCTGCCGGATCCCGGCCACCTTCTCCTGCCAGATGCTCCCTGCGAGTCGGGCAATGCAGGGCTCAGGGCAGGGACCGGGGCAGGGCTCAGGGCAGGGCTCAGCTCGGCCCCGGGCTGGGGGTGCTGTGGGTGAGCGCCCATCCTGCAGCTGGGGTCAGACCTGTGAACTCTGCTGGGAGGCTGTAGATCTCGCTGGAGGAGGGGAGGGGTCTCTGGTCACCCCATGCCTGATCCACAAGGTTGGTCTCGAGGGGGAGCAGGGTCCGGCCGGAGCCGTGCAGAGCCCGGCTGTAGCTGTTCCAGGTGTCTGGGGGGCGAGCAGCCCGCAGGTTTGGGCTCCTGGTAACTCCGCACCAGGGGCTGCCCTCCCGCGGGCAGGGTGAGGTGACCCCCAGTGTCAGCCAGCCCTACCGATGGAGAAGAGGAAGGGGTCCAAAGTGACGTTCCCCCCCGCAGGAACCGCCTCCAGGATCCACATCCCGATGGACTC